TATATATATATATATATATACATACATATATATATATATAAGCAAATTAACATACTCAAGGTCTTCAACAATAACTTGAAAATGTGCTCACAGTATGAGTAGTTTTGTAGGCATGCATGAACTGTGGTTTCTTTTACCTTACAAATCATGGAGTGGAGGGAGACTTGTTATGTGAAGTGCTTGAAGGGAACAAAAAATTTTTCGAACTCCCCCTTGAAGAGAAGATGAAACTGGCTCGCAAGGAAAATAGAGGTTACACACCACTGTATGCTGAAAACCTTGACCCATCTTCTAGTGCCAAAGGTTTCTTACTGCTTTATGACTTCAATAATTCACTTACATTTTTTTATATTCTTTTAGTAGATAGTGATTAGATGCTCTTGAGCAAAAGTTCTTGTGTATCATTACTGAAGCACATCTAACCCTGAGGGGGTAGCTCAGTGGTTAAATCTTGGGTTTGCTCCCCCAATGATTATCAATTCGAGTCCGTTCAAGGCCACTGAGGTAAGTACTCGATGTGCGCGTAAGCTGACCCGAACACCCACGATCATTAAAAATAAAAAATAAAAAAAATCATTACTGAAGTACATCCTCATGTGTATAAATTTCTGGCAAGTTAATCTGCATGGATAGTAGGTCCAAAAACATTCTGACTGATTATCAGCATTATTGATATTCAACCCATATTCTATTTGAGATTTTTGATCCATACAAACCTATTTAAAAGTCGAGTTGTACATTAACAGGCTCGTGTCCTTATTTGAGATAACGTTCAAGTGGCGCCAACTCTGAAGTAAGCTCAATACTTAAGTTAATCATGGCATGATCAAGTACTTTATGTTCATTTGTATTCAAGCCATTGGTTTGAGATGAATGTATATTTGTCTTACAAAGTAACAACGCTAAAATAGAGTTTTTTTTTTTCGGTTGTGTCTGTTTCCTTGCATTTCTGATATCAAGGTGGAAATGGACACGAGTTTTGTGTACTAATCAATTGTGACTGTGAGCCATGTAGAATTAAGCTCTGCACTAACTGTTCTTCGTTTCAAAATAAATTTCAGGTGACTCGAAAGAAAGCTTCTACATTGGATCTCTTGAAGACACGACAAATGGATACTTGAATCAATGGCCACCCGATGGTTCTTTCATTTACCTTAGTTTCTATCTTGTTTTCTAGATATTTCAATCTCTGATGCTCGGACTCTTCGACACAGTTGGAATACCCGTGTTAGACAACATGGGTATGGGTATGG